TTATTATGTATACAGTGTTCTGCCCACATGTATGCTTGTACACCAGAAGGTGCAATGAAACAGGGTGAACTAAGTAGCTTTGGCTGTTCTGTAATTCACTGTGAAGACCAGGTTGGCATTGAACTCAGAGATCCACCTCAAATGCCTCAAATGCTGGGATTAAAGGCATGTGTCACCATTATGTGTATAGTGTTCTGCTTGCATGTATGATTGCATGCCAGAAGAGGGCACCAGATGGTTGTGAGCTACAATGTGGTTGCTGGGAATTGAACCCAGGACCTCTGGAAGAGCAGCCAGTAAAAAAATGTAAAAAAATTTGTGTATTCCTTTTTCTGTTTAATTTTTCTTTTTTCAGATTAGTAGTGCCCCAGGAACTTGGAACACATACATGATAATCATACATTGTCAGCTGTGTCTGATTTTCAGAAATGTTAAGCTATTAAAAGGGGGGCTGGAAAGATGGCTTAGAGGTTAGAGCACTTATGTTCTCTTCAGAGGCATGAGTTTGGTTCTCAGCACTGAAGTCAGTCAGCTCCCAACCACCTGCAACTCCAGCTCCAGGGAATTCCAGGAATACCCTCTTCTGGCCTCCATGGGCATGCATACCACACACAAATACATATAAATAGGGCTGGAGAAATATTTCAGTGGTTAAGAGCAGCCAGTGCTCATAACCAATTCTGATCATCCACATGGTGGCTTACAACTGTTTATAATCCCAGTTCCAGGGGATCAAAAACTCTTACACACAAGCAGTCAAAAGTATTTTGTGACAACATGAAAATTATACTAAATTTAAATATCAGCAACACTAAGTAAAGCTTTTGGGTGTATGTATATGTGTTTTTGTGCCTATGTAGATGTGTGTGCATATGTTTGCATGTGGAGGTTAGAGGTCCATGTTGGGTGTCTTCCTCAGCTGCTCTTCATCTTACTTTCTTTTAAACTTAAAACTTATTTTATGTGTATGGGTGTTTTGCCTGCATATGTCTTTGTACATGGGTGCCTAGTGACCATGGAGTCCAGAAGAAGATGTCAAATCCTCTAGAACTGGGGTTAACAGATGGTTGTGACCTGCCATGTATGTGCTGGGATTGAATGCTGGTCCTCCCCAAGGATTACAAGTGCTTTAACTTCTCCCTTTATTCAGTTTTTTGAGTCATGGTTTCTCAGTGGACTTGGTGCTTGCCAGTTTGGTTAGACCGACTGGCTAATAAGCCCCAGGGATTTTCTAGTCTCCTTTCCCAGTGCTAAGATTACAGGTGTGAGCTTCCATGCCCTGTTTTGTTTTGTTTCCCACAAGGGTTTTGACAGGTCAAACTTAGTCCTCATGTTTGCATGGCAAACCTTCTGACCAAGCCATTTTTTTCTAGCACTAAAGAAACTAGTCATCATCAGGCGGTGGTGGCACAGGCCTTTAATTACTGCACTCGGGAGGCAGAGACACTCGGGAGGATCTCTGTGAGGCTGAGTCCAGCCTGGTATACAGAGCTAGTTCCAGGACAGGTTCCAAAGCTACACAGAGAAACCCTGTCTTGAAAAGCCATAAATGAATGAATGAATGAATGAATGAATGAAACTAGTCTTTGTTTTTGTATTGACACTCTATGGCCTCTTTTATAATGCAACAGCATGTGGTTATGACTACATGACTTAGAAGGCTAAAATAATTACCATCTTGTTATTTATAGAAAAGTTAGCTGGTATCTAGTCTAGTTCATCATAATGGTTTCATAGTATGTATGTATTAAGGTAAGGATTATAGTTAGCTGCCAGCAGTCTGTCATGCTTGATGCTTTCTTTACACATTAACACATGTATACTAATTTATATATAATCTCTTTCTGTGTGTGTGTGTGTGTGTGTGTGTGTGTGTGTATACAAGTGTGCATCCATGTGTGGCCATTAGTCTCTTGTGTCATGCCTTCTGAGACAAGGTCTCTAAATGGGAGTCGATTACATTGGGTTGGTTAGTCAGGGATCCCCATCTATCTACTTGTTTTTGCTTCCCCAGTGTTGGAACTGTCAGCATATACCACCATTCCTAGATTTTTCACATGGGTTCTAGATTTCTAGTTCAGGTTCCATGATTGGATAGCAAATACTTTACCAACTGAGCTGTCTCCCCAGCCTTTACATAATTGTTAATAACATGCCTAATATTAAAAAAATTTTAAATAGTAGTATCAAAATTCAAGCCTAGAAGTTTGAATTCAAAGTCTATTCATTCTGTTATTCACACTGTGTGTTTTTGTGTGTGTATACACACATACATATATGTTTTTTCTTTTTCCTTGTTTTTTTGAGATGGTTTCTCTGTGTAGCTTTAGAGTCTGTCCTTGCACTTGCTCTGAAGACCAGGCTGGCCTCAAGCTCACAGAGATCCGCCTGCCTCTGCCTCTCCAGTGCTATTATTAAAGGAGTGTGCCACCATTGCCTGGCTTTTTTACTTTATTTATTTATTTGTATACATTTTTCAAAAAGAGACTTGGGGCTTGGAGAGATGGCCCAGCAGTTGAGAGCACTTGCTGCTTTTGCAGAGAACCTATGTTCAGTTCCTAGGATCCACAGCAGGCAGCTCACACACTGCCTATATCTCCAGCTCCAAGGGATTCAATACCCTCTTCTGCTCCCAGTCGTAACTGCATACATACACACATACAAATAAATTAAAAAAATGAAAAAGAGATAAGTTCAAATGATGACTCACTCTCATCCACCCTCCCTTTTTCTATGCATTTGCTCTTCTTGAGGACCTGGCACCTTACAACCCTCTAAAACTCCAGTTCCAGGGGGTCTGGTGCTCTCTTCTGGTCTGTGCATGCGTTGCATGCATGCATGTGGTGCACTTACATGCCTGCAAAACACTCATACACATAACATAAAAGTAAATCCTAAGAAATAGCCTTAAATATCTGTATTATTCACTATTTAAAGAATCATCATAAAACAGGATTTGTATTTTATTCCTACTAAATTAATTATGATTATATTTTTCTTGGTATTTGCTAAAACAAACATTTGACTGTCTAGGAAAAAGTGAAGAAAGCTTAATTAAACTGCTGCTAAATAATTCAGGGTGTTTTAGTGACTTAGCAGATGAAAGCTACCCCCTTTCAAAATGTTTGGTTGGAAGTACATGGTGGAGACAGCAATTCCTTCCTTTTCTTTTTTAAAGATTTATTTATTATGTATACAGTGTTCTGCCTGCATGTGTCCCTGCATGTGAGAAGAGGGCACAGATCTCATTACAGATGGTTATGAGCCACCATGTGGGTGCTGGGAATTGAACTCAGGATCTCTGGAAGAGCAGCCAATGCTCTTAACAAACTCTGAGACATTTTTCCAGCCCCTGCAATTCTTTTTCTATGAGTCATTTACTGCTCTCATTCTTGTTGGTCCTTTCCAGTTTACCTTTAGTCATTCTGTTGGGGCTAGTTAGTTTATCAGAAGCTGTTTTGGTTTTTCTGTACAAGTCAGGCTTAAATGTAATTACAATCTGTACATTTAAGAATTTTAAAAAAATTGGGGGTGGGGACAGTTTGAGACAGCTGTGTGTAGCCCTGTCTATCCTGGAAATCACTCTGTAAACCAGACTGAACTTGAACTCACAGAGATCCACTTACCTCTGCTTCTCCAGTGTTGGTATTAAAATTTTATATGTATGGTGGTGGTTTTACCTGCCTCCCGAAACCACAAACATTAACATGATTTCAGGCAGTATCCCAGACCACAGATACTCCAGTGGGCTTTGGTTATACCATGGGCAGCAGTATATTTTGGGTGTTCTTAACAGACCTTGAACTATTTACTTATCAATGATTTGCTGATTGAAAATGGGGAAACAAAATATTAATGTGTGAAATATTTATTTTCAAGTCAATTTCCGTGGTGACAGTAATGATGGGATTCAATTGTATTTTTTAATAGTTACTCCTGATCAGTAACAGATTTGAAGAAATAAAAATATCTCAAAATAAAGAGAGTATACTGTAAAATGTATTTAATTAAAATAATTATACTAGCTAGGCAGTGGTGATGCATGCCTTTAATCCCAGGACTCAGGAGGCAGACGCAGGTGGATCTCTGTGAGCTCCAGGTCAGCCTGCTCTACAGAGCAATTTCTGGGAAAGCCAAGGTTACACAGAGAAACTCTGTTTCCAAACCCTTCCCACCCATCAAAAAAGATTATCTCTCCTCCTCCTCCAACCTCTCCCATGTTCTGTCTCCCTCCTATCTCGAATTCATGGTCCTTTTAGTTATTATTCTTCATGTATGTATGCAAAAATATGTAAATGCAATCTGCTGAGTACATTTAGTGTTGCTTTTGTGTGTTATGCTTTTAGGGGTGACCACTTGGGATTGGATCTTCCCTGGGGAAGACTAATTCTCTCAGCAGTTATTAACTGCCTGTATGCTCTCATCTAAGAATGGGTTCTGGAGAGATTTCCCTCATCCATGGCCTCACAGCTGGTGTTGTCATTGTTCAGGTCTTGTTTAGGCGCATATATATATATATATATTTGAGTATCATGTGTGTAGCTTCCCTGTTTCTCTACACACAGTCTTGCAGCAGATTTCCTGTGTCTTACACTCTTTCCGCTCATCTTCCACAATGTTCCCCAAGCCTTCAATATAGTAGTTGTGTTGTAGTTGTATCTGTTTGGGCTGGGTACCCCTGGTAAGTAGTTCTCTGCATTTGGGTCAATGCAAAAAGAAGCTTTCATGAGGGGTTAGGGCTATGCTTATGTCTCTATGCCACGTGGGCAGGCTAAAGTGTTAGAGATCTGATGAGTCCCAGAGAGGAAAAGGGGCCAAGAGAGAAAGCACACTTTTCAGCTATGATGATCAGATTGTAAGGTTAAGTCTTCTCCAGAAAATGGTGCTTTTCATTAACTAAAACTAGTTTAGAAGAAGTTGAAAACCCACAAATGTTACTTACACAGTTTTTACTGATATTCATTACTGTAATAGTAAATGTGTTGTATTTTTCCTTCTAGAATCTCTCTGGAAAAAAGATATGACTGTCTGCAATGATACATCCTGACAAGAAGTTGATGCCAGAAAAGGAAAAGAAATTAACAGCTAGTGAACAGAATTTTAAACAACCAGGATTTTGCATTTGTTGCTTCTAACTACAGACTTCTGTTGCCCACTTTTTAAATTAGCAGGGTTCCCAGAACTAGGACAAAGATAATTTCTTCTGTATTTTTTTTTTTTTTTTTTTTGACATTGAGAAAATTGCAATGTCTAGGAAACAAAGCCAGAAGGGTAAGGTCACATATATGCATGAATTGTTAGAATAATAATTGTTGCCATCTGGGAATGTGTGTACCTTAGTGATGGAGCACTTGCCTTGCATGCACAGGGCTCTGAGTTTTATCCTTAGCATTGTGAAAATAAAACCAAAGCATAGGGATGGGGAATAAAGCTCACTTGGTAAAACAAATCTCAAGTGCTTGCTGGTATGCACGAGGCCACCTGGATTTGGTCCCCAAGAACTGCAAAAAGTTAAAAACCAGAGCATAATTGTAAACAGTTATACTTAACATCTGTATGTTTTGAAATGTGTTCAGAATGATTTTGCAAGTATTGTATATTAGGCTTTATTTTTATGTATAAGTAAGTCTTGGAATTGATCTCATTAGAAATAGTTTTTCTACTCAGACAGATTTATCCAATTGTAATAAATGTGTTAGAGATGTAGATGTAACCTGATAGTGCATTTTTGTAGAGTGAGCATATGTTAAGGGAGTTGCAGTAGGAGCTGGCTTCCTGCACTATGCTTCATAGTCCTAGGGACAGGAAATGGAGTAAGAATGAGTGCTTCCAGGTTTTGTTTCCTTCTTTAGCTTTCTTTCCGGGTTTGCTACCCTGGCAAATGAAGATATAGACATGCAGTATCAAGAGAGGTTATAATGAGGAAAAGCAAAACAAAGGCTGAGTAGAACTCTTTCCTAGTGTGCTAGAATAGCCATGTGTTCATTTAAAGGGTGACCCCATAGATTGAGGTCTTTACAGATTAAATATGGTGGAAATATTTTTAATTTTGATTTGAAAATTCAAAAATCTCAAAAGAAAATAATACATGTCAGAGCTACTTGTAGTTTTGGAAGCTGTGATTTCATTGTAGTAGTATTAAGTAGTATTAGCAGAAGATTATCACTCACATACTAGAGTTAAGCTTGGAAATATTCTAGGCATTAGCTAGCAGATATGTGACAGTGGCCTGCATGCTTGATTTCCTTCTTTCTTTCCTTCCTTCCTTTCTTTCTTCCTTCCTGCCTTTTGAGACAGCGTCTCTATAGCCCAGGGTGTCCTAGAACTTAGAGATCTGCCTGCCTCTTCCTCCGCAGTGCTGGGACTAAAATAGTGCACTGTACCACCTGGTGACAGGAGCTTTCTTACTTGGCACTTGTATTTGTATAATAGAACTCTAGCTCCTACATTTTCTAATAGTTCATGTGAAAAAACAGCACCACTTACAATTTTATAGTTATTCTGCAAACTGGCATGAGAAAAAGGAGGTCTGAGGCTCATTGATAAGGAAAGAGCTAAGTTATAACTGCACTCCCCACTGTATTTATTCTATCAACTTCCTGACCCATCTTTTATGAACTGCCATGTAAGTTTCTCTCTGCTTTGTCCCCTTATCCATACACATGTCCTTATGTCCCTCCCTTGTTTCCTTTCTACATCTCCCTTTCATCTCTTCTCCTTGCCCTTTCCTTCCATCTGTCCTTTCCCCCTTTGTTCCTTCTTCTCTGTCTTCCCTTCCTTCCCTCCCTTCTTTCCTATTCTTCCTCTTTCCTCCCTCCCTTTCTGTCTCTTCCTTTCTCTATTTCCCTTCTATTCATCTTGTAATCTAGAGACAAGTAGCTTCCTGATTCTCACTGTCCAGTCAGCCTAGTCTAATTTGCAAGCCCAGTGAGAGACAATGTCTGAGAAATGGTCACTGATTGTCACATGCAGGTATGTTCAGTTCATGCAGTGACCTCTTCTACATGAGCTTATATATTTTCAGTTTTTAAAAATCTGTATTTGTTTGTTTGCATTCTTATTTATTTTGTGTATGAGCGTGTATGTGTGGGGATATGTGCATGACAGAGCTTCCATGTGGAGCCCAGAGTATAACTTGGCAGGATTTGATTTGCTTTCTCTACTGTTTGAGTCCTAGAGATCTAACTCAGGTCTTCACAATTGACAGCGAGGCCTTTACCTACATAGTCATCTTGTGGGCTCTTGAATTTACTCTATAGTTTTCAAAAGGGAGTTGAATAAAATAATAAAGATGACTAATGGTATCTGCACTTCTAGGTTATATGGGCTTCCAGACTTCCTTGTCCCTAACATTACCTGTTTACTTGTATCTTACCTTTTCTTGCCTTTCTTTTCTTTCTTTCTTGCCTTTATCATATTGTTCCTCATCTTGCTGTATATCTGTGTGAGGAATATCAGTGAGTAGCAAGAAGCTATGAAAACCAAGGTACTGTTAGAATAATGGAGCCTTCCTTGAGAGAGTATCCAGTGAGTCAGAGCAGCAGTGTTGTCTAACATAAAACCCTGACTCCCTGACTTTGCAGCAGGACTCAGGAGATGTACTGTAACTGACTTTTTCATTTTTTCGACAGTGAAAAATTAAGCAAGCCTCAGGCTGAGAGTATATCTCAGTGGTAGAGCTTTTGCCTAACATGCAGGAAGCCTTGAGTTTGATGCCTAGCATCACAAAGTACGGGGAGGGATTCTCAGATTATAATCCCATTTTCACCTCACTTTGTCAAAGGCAATAATTTGTCATTATCTGTATTCATGGGAAATGGTGTAAGCAGTCTAAGTAAAGGTACAAATTTAGTAGCTTCCTGAGCATCCCTGAACTTATTCCACATCTGAGCCTTGTAGGTCTCTGGACATTTCCCTAATGCCAGATTTTTCTTTAAACCTATAATGGCTCCCTCTATTATGTTATCTCTTTTCTTGCTCTCCTCTAGTCTTCCCCCTACTCAGTCTTCTGGCTCCTTCATGTCCTCCTCTCCCCTCCTCTTCCTCTTCTCCCCTTCTCATTTTTACAGATCTGACTATGCACACCAGCCTGTTTTCTTCTATACCTTCTAGTATAGAGTTGTCTGGTCTCCACTACTTAGGGCAGAAGGACCTGGGCCTCTGGATAAGTTTTTACTGCTCCTTAACCTTTCTAGTTTTTGGCGTGACAGAACTTCTCATGTATAGGAAAGTACTTTTCTACACATTGAGAAAAAGAGGAAATGTAGGCTATTAGGAAGCAGCACAGCAGAAACAAGTTAAAGGGCAAGAAGCTGCGAAGTGAAGCAAGAGTGGGGCTTTGAAAGGTCGGGAGGAAGGAGACTGAAGCTGCGGGACACTCAGCCTCATTCTGCGATGACCAGGCACGAAGGAGCACTTCCTGTGCACTTGGGGACACAGGAGGCCCTTAGGCATGCAAAGGGGCTTCAGCAGCCCATAACCTGTGGGCACTGAGCTCCTCATGTTCCCTCACTGCTCCACTCAGGCTGGAACAAGGTCGAACGCCCGCATAGGCCCGCATCCACCTGCTCACATCTTCTGGGTTCATCCATAGTCAACATCTAGACCTTATTTTTAATCATTCACATTGAATAACTCATTCCAGGTTTAGTTTTGTTTACCTTGCTTATTGAGTACAGTTTCACTTGCTGAATACAAACTTGGATATGGTGTTGGTAATGTAAACTGGGATACATTGCTTCATCACATATCAAATCTGGGTCATCAGTCAGTGAATGTATTCATGAAGCTCATAGTCTAAGAATATGCACATGGCAGTTTAGAAGACAGAAATAACTTTTGTTTGCTACTAAATACAGATGGTTCCATCTCCACCTACAATATCATAGGCAACTTCTTGCTTATAACATTTTTAGAGTGGCTTATAAATTAAGGTAGGATAATTAAGAAAGATATTAAGAACTATAGTATATGCTAAATATAATTGGCATATTGCTAGTTTCCTCAAAACCTACTTTAAAAAAATAATTAAGAGCACTTGCTGCTTTTGCAAAGGGCTAGGCTTGGTTGTAGTACCTACATTGTGGCTCCCAACTGTCCAAGACTCCATTTCTAGGGGATCTAGTGCCCATTCTGGCTTCTACAGGGACCAGGTGTATATGTGGTGCACATATACACATGCAGGCAAAGACTCATACACATAAAATAATTTCTTCCTTTTTTCTTTTCAATTTTGAGACAAGGTCTCACTATGTACCTCTGGCTGTCCTAGAACTTAGTATATAGACCAGGCTGGCCTTGAACTCACCAAGATCCACCTGCTTCTGCCTCCTAAGTGCTGGGATTAAAGGTGTGTGCCACCATGCCTGGCAACAATAAATAAATTTTTGTGACTAATTCAAAATATAGTTATATATAAGCTATCTATGTAATGGAATTTTCTAAGTAGTAACTGAATTATTAGTAATTATATGGGGAAAAATATCCTTGATCTTTTTGTCTTAGATGAATAAAATACATACATTGTATCAAGTTGAATATATTTTTCTCTATATTCTTTCAGATTCATCAGGATTCATTTTTGATTTGCAGTCCAATACTGTGCTGGCCCAGGGAGGAACTTTTGAGAACATGAAGGAAAAAGTAAGATTAATTGCTATGGATATTAAATTTGAATGAAAGTGGAATCTGCCTGGCATAGTGGCACATGCCTTTAATGCTAGCACTCAGGAGGAAGAGGCAGGTGGATTTCTGTAAAGCTAGAAATCTGGTCTACATAGTAAGTTCCAGGCCAACCAAGGTTACATAGTGATACCTGTCTCAAAAAAAAAAAAAAAAAAAAAAAAAAAAAAAAAAATGAAAGAAAGAAAGAAAGAAAGAAATAAAATAAAATCCTGGAACAAAACAGAATACCACCATATAATCAAGGATAACTACCAAGGTGGTTCTGAGGAACCAGTTTATGAAAATGAACAAAGATGATTTTTTTATTTTTGTTTTTATGTGGGGGTTGGGGGGGTTGAGGTAGGTGTTTCTTTATAGCCCTGGCTGTCCTGGAACTCAGTCTGTAAACCAGGCTGGCCTCAAATTTAGAGATCCACCTGCCTCTGCCTCCTGAGTGCTAGGATTAAAGGTGTACACCACCACTGCCCAACTCAAAGATGATTTTGTTTGGACATCTCCAATTGTATTTATTCTAAATTCTTTTAATTTAATATTTATATGACTGAGATTGCATCTCCTTTTTATTTTTTTGAGACATAATTTCTCTATGTAGACCAGGCTAGCATCAAACTCATAAGTACTACTGACAGTGTCTGCCTTCTGAGTGCTGGGATTAAAGGTTTGTGCCACAACACCTGGCTCAGAGACAAAATTTTTTAGTACTTTAAAAAAATTAACATATTAATTATACATGGTAATTGACTAGGGTATAAAGGTTAAGAAAAAAGAAACTCATATCTAAAATTTGATGACAGTGTTGTATTTGATTTGAGGATGTTTGTTACAAGCAGTTTCCTCCCAGCCTGATCCCACAGCTGCGTCAGCCCCAAATGACACACAGAGATGCTGTATTAGATATAAAGCTGTTGGCCTGTTACTAGTGTTTCTTATTGGCTAACTCTGTCTTAGATATTAACCCATTTCTATCAATCTAAGTATTTCCGCGAGGTCATATCTTTCTGGAGAGAGGGTCCAGACTTCTGCTCTCTTGATCCTACATTTTGGCTCTTCCCCTTCCTCTCCCTGAATCCTCCTTGTCTCCTCAACACTGCTTTATTCATTAACCAATACAAGAAACATATTTACAGAATGACATCTCTCATCAGATGTTAGTGTGAACTTGTAATTTAATAGAAAACTGTCTCTTAGTTGTACCCATTGAAAGGATGTATGTACAGTGACTTCCTAGTAGCAATAAGCTCATGTAACTCCTAGATATTTATTTCTACTGTTTTCTATCAAAAACACACTTAGTACTTCCTTAAGAAATAATTAATTATACTTTGTATAGTAAGAGAAATAAAATGGAAAGGGTAAAAAATACAGTTATCTACATAGAAAAGTCCTTGAAAATAAATGAATAGGACAAATGAGTTTATCAGTTAAGCCAAGCATGGTACTGCATGCCTGTAATCTCAGCATTTGGAAGGCTGAGGTGGGTAAAGCTGAGTTTGAGGACAGCCTGTGCTTCATAGCAAAAAGATCTTGATTCAGCAAAACAAACAAAACCATAGAATTTATTGTAATAATGATAATGTAATGTAATAAAATAATGTAATAAAATAGATATATGGTGTTAAAATAGTCGGGGCTAAAGAGATAGCTCAGTTTTTTAAAATTATTTTTTAGGTTTATTTATTTTATGTATGTGTGTGTTTTGCCTGCATGTATACATGTGTATCGTGTGTGCCTGATACCTGAGGAGGTCAGAAGAGACCGTTATATAAAAAGAAAGCTGGTGTAGTAGTACCAGTAATCCTAGCACTGAGGAGGAGATAGGTGAACCCCTGGAGTTTGCTGGCCAGCCACCCAACCCAGCCCAGGGCAGTGAGGAGCCTGCCTCAAAAGAAAAACAAAGGGCCAGGATGATGCACATCTTTTATCCCAGCACTTGGGAGGCAGAAGCAGGCAGAACTCAGATCTCAGTGACTTTGAGGACAGCCTGGTCTCCAAAATGAGTTCCAGGATAGTTAGAGCCATAACACAGGGAAACCCTGTCTTAAAAAAACAAAGAACAAAGAAAAACAGTGGACACCTGATCTTGTCCTCTGTCCTTTGCACATATGTCATACATACACTTGTTCTTGCATACACATGTTTACATGAGTATTCAGTTATTATAAGCAATTTTTAATTTTAAAAAATAAAATGCTTCTGGAGTAAGTGACAAAATTGCCATGTCTGCCAGGCACAGAGGCAGAGGCATGCAATATCTATGAGTTTGAGGAGTGAGTTCTAGCCAATGCTACATAGTGAGCCCCTTTCTCAATAAACAGACCAACATAAAACAATTGGGAATATCCATTTTATAGAGCAATTTGGCATTATCAGAGAAGCACTGATTACAGATCCCATACCATCAGAATTCTGTTGGGAGAAGACATGGCTTTTCATTGTTCTAAATATTGTTCTATACACTAAGGACTCAACAGCAGACAAACATAAAACTGTGGTCTAAGATTGCCATTCCAGTGAGTGAGGGCTTAGCAGGAATGAAACCTCTAGTACTGCAAAAACAGGGTGAGATATCCACTCTGCCAACACCTGTTGTACTGACCACACCCAAATGGACATGGTCTCAGGTGTGGACTTGGTCACAGATGTGGATGTGAAAGGGGAAGGCTAGGTCTGGGGTCCTGGACCCCAGCTTGCTCTCTTGCTTCCTGGTCAGGTTGTGGAGAGCATCTGGGTGGCAGGGTGGCATCTGTGGGATGGGAACCTGGGTGGTCATCTGTTGCATGTGTAAGTGAATTCTCTCCGAATAAATCTCACTTAACCTATACTGAGTCCAGTGGATCTTAATTCCCACACATTATCTAACTGTCCATTAACAGAATGAATAAATTAGGTGTATTATACCATGGGAATGCTATGTACTATATATATGTACATATATATATGTATGTATGTATATGTATATATATATAGACACATACATATGCTAGTATATATATATATATATACATATATATGCTAAACTATATAAATAACAAATGTGCCTATCAATGTGGAAAAAATGCTGTGTGACAAAAATTGAAAAAATCATGCATGATGAAATAATATTTATATAATATAAAATAGTATATATTGCCTATGGAGATATACATACATCATGAAATGCAAATATATTGAAATTAAATTCTGGAGTAGGAATTTCTGAAGAAATAGGATTTAGTACATGTCCATTGGGTTTTATTTGCATTTGTTTTATTAAGCAGGGTTTTTATCAGTTGTTCATTATGGGTTTTATTTGTTTGTTTTTGTTTTTTTGAAACAGGGTTTCTCTGTATTGCTTTGGAGCTTGTCCTGGAACTTGCTCTGTAGTCAGGTTGGCCTTGAACTCACAGAGATCTGCCTGCCTCTGCCTCCCAATTGTTGGGACTAAAGGTGTGCACCACTACCTTTGGGCTTGTTCATTATGTTTTGTGCACCCAAATAGCTTATAATAATTCAGATGATCTCTGTAAGTTACTTCTGTAGAGCTTTTATGCAGCTACGTGGCACAAAGTAAGAGTGTTCTGAATAGTGCTATATAAAAATCTAAGTTGTTGGGCTGGAGAAATTTTGGCTCAGTGGTGAGAGTACTTGCTGTACAAGCATGAGTACTTGAATTTAGAGCCACAGACTCCAAATGTAGACCTGAATATACCTGTGACCCCAGAACCATGGGAGACAGAGACAGGAGGTCATTGGAACCTGCTGGCTGCCAGCCTCACTCCACGTTCAATGAGAGACCCTGTCTCAAGGGAGTGAAGTGGGGAGTTATAGAGTAGCACAGCCAGTTTCCTCTGGCTTCTCCAATGTACATAGGCACTTGTACCCACACACATATGTTCATATATACCACATGCACACATTCATAACATGTAGACATTAAAATTAAAAAAAAAAAAAAAAGAATCCTAAACTGTTAGAGTTAGTGGTTCATTAAAATTTCTACTTTCCCTATACTATGCTTACAGTGAAGAACTACTGATGGTAAATTAATAGCTGGAACCTAATTGAAACTACAGTTATGTGACACCACATCTTAATTGCCTACTCCTTCTTGACCTATAATCTTTTACATACCAACTGACTTTTTTCTTTTTAAGATTTTATTTATATACAGTATTCTGTCTGCATGTGTGCCTGCAGGCCAGAAGAGGGCACCACACTTCATTACAGATGGTTATGAGCCACCATGTGGTTGCCAGGAATTGAACTCAGGAGCAATCAATACTCCTAACCTTTTAGCCAGCCCCATCTAACCTTTTTTTTTTTTTTTTTTTTTGAGACGTGGCTCACTCTGTAATCCAGGCTGGCTTTGAACACAGAGATTCTCCTGCTGAGATTAAGGGCATGACCACCATACCCAGTGCCTTCTAACTTTAAAAATAAAAATTCTTATTATTAGTGTGTGTGTTGTTGGGGGGGGACGTGTGTATGTGTGTACATGCAGATGTGTAAGTACCTGGCAGCCTGTGTGGAGGTCAGAAAACAACTTTTGGGAGTCCTCAGGTCACTGTAAATGCCTTTATTCACTGATCACCTCCGTGGTGCCCTTTTATTTCTATAAATGTCCTTTTTAAATTTTGAAGTTAAGTTTTGATTTGGTATTATCATTTTTCTATTTATTATTCCCAGTGTGATGGTTGTGTATGTCTTTACTGACATTAAAGAGTGATAATTGCTGAAAGTAAAATGACACTGTGATTTTCCCTGACACATTTCAGCTGACCAGTGAGTGACCTACTCATGTTAGAATTACATGACCTGTCATATTTTGCAGATAAACGCAGTACGTGCAATAGTTCCTAATAAGAGCAACAATGAAATCATCCTGGTTTTGCAGCACTTTGATAATTGTGTGGACAAAACAGTTCAAGCATTCATGGAAGGTAATCCTCTCGAGTTAAACTTTTGGAACCTGAGCTGTAATACACAGTCTTGACAGTATATCGCACTGTGATATTTTGTTAATGTGAGATACTGTTTTCATTACCAAGCTGTAGAAAAACTGGAAGAGACAAACTAAGAAAACCCCTTTACTATTAAGAGTGTTCTCTACGAGCATTTAAGAAGTCAGACCAAGTGTGGTAGAACATTGCTGAAATTCCAGTGTGGTAAAGGCAAGAGGACTATGACTTGAGGCCAGTCTTGGTTATATAGTGAGTTATAGGCCAGTCTCTTATTATAATGTGAGACTCCATCTGAAAAAGTTATGTTCCACTCCCCAAACAAACTATGCAGCTGATCCCATACACATGGGATTTGAATGGAATCGGATAAAGTGATTTAAGTGACTATTATAAAGGAGTAACTCAGTGGCCCAGGAACAGATTGCCAGTTCAAGGTCTCCACATTTATTTCCAAATTCCACTATTTCCAATTTCCAAATTAGTTTGGTTCTGGTAGGTGACTCAAATGTATGAGTTGAATTTCCTTATGTTTCCTATATGTTAGATAGAAAATGATAGCCTTGTTTAACACCTTAGATTTGTAGGATTAATAAGTGTTTTTAAAACTCTTTCCATATAACTTTACTTGAAACTGTTTTGCCTTTGTCAGGCCAGGGCTCTCTGCTGCATTTTTCTGGATTTGCAAGTACAAGAGTAACAGATCAATATCTACAAGGTTTTCCCACTGTCATCGTGTTTTCTTTATATTAGGGTTTGAGTCTGGTGTAGGGTGCAGCTCTTCCCAAACACCACAGTCAAGATGGTGTGCAACATAGCGGGAAAAGACGGTGAAGACTAGTCACTGCTGTATTCAGACCCAGATGTGTAGATAAAGAGTCTCAAATGACCTCTGTAGGCTCTTACAGCAGAAGTGTGACATGACTGCCTCACTGCAGTATCCAACAATTATGAAATACACTGATAGCTCTTTCAGTTTGTGTGTGGTACAAGAGGAAATCTCTATTTGGTCTCTTTTTCAGGCAGTGCCAGTGAAGTACTCAAAGAATGGATAGTAACAGGCAAGAAAAAGGTAAAAATGAATTATATTGTTGTTTGTTTTTTAAATCAGGCTTTAGAGGCTGGCAAGATGGCTCAGCAGGTAAGAGTAGCACAGTGTTCTTGCAGAGAGGACCTGGGTGCAGTTCCTGGTTCCTCATAGCAGCTTCCCATTGGTAACTCCACCTTCACAGACATTAGGTGCACACACACACACACACACACATATATATATGGACAAAACACTCCACATAATGTATAATAAAAGGCTTTAAAATATGTTTGATAATATTTAAGAGCTTCTTTGGAGGGTTCCAGCACAGAAGCATTGAGGGTAGAGGGAGACATCTGCCTAGCCATCCAGATCAGCCAAATCTACCCTGGTGATGACTGAAGTGAGAAATCACAGCGAGCTCACCCATACATCCCATATTTGAAAGAAAAAGTTTGCATGTTTACTACCTGTTTACCATCTCAAAAATGCCACTTATGGCATTGAGACCCTGCTGTATCTCACAGAGAATTATGGTTTGCCCCCTGTGATTGGAGGCAGAAAAGGTTAAGTTTGTGGGCACAGTTGCTGGGGGTGCTTGATACAAGAGTAGAAGGAAGAGAGCATGTCAGAGAGCACAGGGCCTCCTGGAAGGGTGGCCGGTTTTCAGCAGGATTTGTTTCATAAACTAGCTAAAACAGTGCAGACTTTCAGGTTAGACAACTATGTTCTAGTCCCTAGTAATGGTGAATTTTGACTTAAAGTCACATGGCAGCTTCTGCTTTTTTAAAAACTTTATCCTGCTGTCTATAATTTATTGTTTGCATGTTTGCATATGCATGAGCTCACAGAGGTCAGAGGGCAGCTTTGTGGGGTTTGTTCTTTCCTTTGACCTTTATGTGCTTCCTGTGGGTGGAATTCAAGTTACCTGCTGCCCATCTTACTAGCCCGGATTTTGTTCCTTCAGACTAAGTGCCTTCCGGAGACATCTGATGTTATGTGTTAAAAGAGTAGAAGGCATTTATTTGGACTTCAGAGCCAGTCAGAACTGGGTTTCTGTCCTGTTTTGCTTCATATGGTCTTGTGAGCTGTGGGTATTATTTAGTTTTAGTTTTCTGTCTATAAAGTAGGAAAATACAGATATGGTGGCACATACTTGTGATCCTAGCACTTAGAAGGGTGAGACAGGAGGGTCAGGAGTTCAAGGCCATTGTGGTCTACATAGCACAACCCCGTCTATGAAAAAAAAGACAACAACAACAACAACAAAAATACTATATTATATACATATTCTTATTATAATGCCTAACATACTAGGTTTTGTTTTTCTTTTTCTTTCTTTTCTTTTCTTTTTTTTTTTTCTTTTTTTTTTTTTTTTTTTTGAGGCAGGTTTTCTCTGTTTTTTGCTTTGGAGCCTATCCTGGAACTAGCTCTGTAGACCAGGCTGGCCTCAGACTCAGAGAGATCTCTCTGCCTCTGCCTGTCGAGTGCTGGAACTAAAGGCATGCACCACCAACACCCAGTGACATATTAGTTCTTAAGCTTTTACTTACATCCATTTAAAACCTAATTGCTTCCCTTATAGGAGGACACTAGCTGGGTTCAGTATTCTTCCCACAGCTCCGTACCCAGTGTAGCTTCTATAAGGAGTGCTGATGTGTGGATTTTCATTAAGTACCAACTGTTAGGAGTACTCTTCCTTTAAGTTAGTGCTGTGTTCTGAAATGCTTTCTCTTAAATTTCATTATCATGTTGTGTGTGGTAGTGTAGGTGTGTAAGTGCCATGGTGCAGAGTACAACTTTGGGCAGTTGGGTCTCTCCTTCCACCTTGGATTCCAGGGATTGAATTCAGGTGTGTGACAAGAGCTTTTACCCACTGACAAGTCTTGCCAGCCCCGAAATGACTTCTTGACCAGGCCAGGTTTGGCTTTATTAACCTTTGAGGATTTCCCAGAGGCCCAAACACTGTTAGGTTCTCATGAGGGTTTCTATGCCTGTTGCTCTTCATGTCTGTTTAACTGATTTTACCCAGCTTACATGGCTTTGAGTGTTCAAGAAAACACCAGTGTCAGAAGTTATCCACCTCAGAATATAAATGGTTAACAACACATGGGCATAGTTGTAAAGGTGTGGGTGACATGATCTGTACAAAGAAAATAGATGTAGTCTGATACTCTCCAGTGCTCCAGTCAGTTACAGCTAACTCTTAGATTAGCCTAATAAGACATGATTGTGAGCTGCTAATTAAATGTGTGAAATAACAGGGAGGAAGTGAAATAGAGGAGAAAACTGAATGCCAAATTCAGGAGTTAACCTGCTGGACAGGGCCACCAAAAGGCCTGCCATGAGAACTGACTGGTTTACTTACCCATCTAGCCTTAGGAGCTAAATGTTGCCAGCATAGTTATCTGTTGTTAAAACAAAGACAAAGGCTTATTTATTAAACCAATCACAGCGACATATATTCACACAGTGTAAAGGAGTATTCCACATCCCCCCCTTTTTGTCTAATTAAAAAGGAAGGTTTTAACTTTAACATAAGAAAATTATATATAACAACAGTTATAGTATCCAGTCCATTTGTGTTTGGCAAATTTAGAGAAAATATTCTAATATGTATCTTTGTGAGTCTAAAGTTTTATACCTAATTTGGTTTTTTAGTTGCATGGCCCAGATTTCCAAGGTATGAATGTTAATACCCTCTAACAGCTTTATTCTCACCTCTTTCCCCCAGATATCTGGCACCCACTTCTTGCCCAAGCAGACAGTATTATCAGTTTATTTATTTTCTTTGTTTTGTTTTGTTTTTGACACTGGGGATCAAACCTAGGGCCTTGTGCATGCTAGTCAAGTGCTCTGCCACTGAGCTACAACCTCAAGCTATTATTTCTTATGTAGCTTCCAAGATAATTTATTCACATAAAAATTACAAATATATATTTTCTTCGTACATTCTATATAATAGAGCATGTAATGTATACATTTCCTACTGACCTACATTTTATGGCTTTTTAGTCTTTATTAATATTAACATAACAGTGTTGTGATGAATAATCTTGTATACCTTTGTCAGTCCTGGCCAGGATAAATTGCTAACATTAGAATTGCTGGGTGAAAGGTGTGTGTGTAACTCCAAAGCATTACTAGATTTTCACTTACACTATTGTTTATGAAAATGCCTGTCTGTTTCCACAGCAGTCAAAGCTGTCTGTAGAGTGGAACCAGTGACTTTATGTCATTAAACTTTTTGACCTTTGCTAATCTAGTAGTTGAAAAACAGTACTTCAGGGCAGGTTTTATTATTTATCAATTATTGGACTGAGGTTAGACCTAATTGAATTATTTATAGATTATATTTTTCTCTATTGAGTTATTGTTGTTACTTAGAGCTCTGTTTATAGTTCACTCTAAAAATATGTTATACTTTTTTTACATTTTATAACTTTTCATTTTGCTTAAGATAGGTTTTTCTGGGGCTGGAGAGATGGCTAAATAGTTAAGTGAGTGGTTAAGAGCATGACTGCTCTTCCAGAGGACCTAGGTTCAGTTCCCAGCACCCACATGGCAGCTCACAGCTGTCTGTAACTCCAAGATCTCACATCCTCACACAGACATACATGCAGCAAAACACCAGTATACATAAAATAAAAAAAAAAAAAAGGTTTTGCTATGAAAGATATTTTGAGTTCATTCAAAATGCAGTTTTACATAGTAAAGTATTATTTTTATCATTAGTTCAATATAAGCACAATTATCTTCAATTTGCAGAAGAATATGTGCCAAATTTGTAATACTGACTTTTTTTGTAGCTGGAGTTGGTTACCTCTTTGAACTGTGTTGGAGGGTCTGCTTTTACTTTTCTGTTTTCAAATGTTGATAACCTTAGAACAAAAAGAAGAAAAGCAAACCAAAACCTGCATCAGAAGCACATAGCAGTGCCCCAGAGTCCAGTAAGTCGATACCCATTCAAGAAGAACAGCCTGCATCTTCAGAAAAAGGTTGCATTAATGGTTACCACATTAATGGTGCCATCAATGATGCTGAGTCTGTGGACTCACTCAGTGAAGGTTTGGAGACACTTTCAGTAGATGCCAGAGAACTGGAGGATCCTGAGTTTGCTACACCAGATACACTGGATAGAACTGGTGAGTTTTTTGTCTTTTTAACAGATTTTGGAAAGTTAATTCACTCAAAAAAGGAGGGGGACTATCCTTGTTGATATACTTTTTACATTAAGAATAATTGGTCTTTTTTCGAGCGGGGTTTCTCTGTAGCTTTGGAGCCTGTCCTGGAACTAGCTCTTGTAGACCAGGCTGGCCTCAACTCACAGAGATCTGCCTGCCTCTGCCTCCTGAGTGCTGGGATTAAAGGCGTGGGCCACCCATGCCCGACTATTTGTTTTCTTTTTTAAAATGTTTTTTAGATTGATTTATCTTATATGTATGAGTATTTTGCCTGCGGTGAATGTCTATGCATCACATGTATACCTGGTGCCTGTGGAGACCAGAAGAGGGTGCTGAATCCCCTGAATTGGAATTATGGTTGTGAGCTGCCATATAAATAATAAAGTGCTGGGAACGGAATCTAGGTTTTCTAGAGCAACCAGTGTTCTTAACTGTGGAGCCATCTCTCCAACCTCCCTGCACATGTTTTCTAATAAAGAATTAAGATTAGTTAATAGTTAGAAGTTCATGTATTTGGTACATTTATCTGTTAACAATTTTGTTAAGGAATGAGAAGAAACTAAGAATGTTTCTCTTTTAGAAATAACTTAGAAATAAAGGCATAGTGACACATGCCTTTAATGCCAGACCTTGAGGGACAGAGGCAGGCAGATCTCTGTGAGTTTGAGGCTAGCCTGGTCTTACATAGAGAGTTCCAGGACAGCCAGGGCTACAAAGCTCCTGCCTTACTTCCCAACAACAAAAAAAGAAGAAAAAAATAAACTTTTTTGAGGGGAGGGGCTGGAATGATGGGCCAGTGGTTAAGAGCACTGATTGCTCTTGCATAGGACCCAGATTTGATCCTCAGCAATCACATTGTGTCTCATGACCATCTATAACTCCAGTAACAGGGGATCTGACACCCTCTTCTGGTCTCTGGGGTCACTGCTTGCTTGTGCTACGTAGATATACATGTAGGCAAAAAACCCATATATACAAAATAATAAAAAGATTAAACACAACTGTTTGCATTTTTAAAAATTACTGTTATTAATCTTGTCCCCTCTGCTTTAGTATACCTGGTTTCATAATGGTGTAACTAGTGTATGGGGTTTCTCTGTGTATCTTTGTAGACCAGGCTGGCCTCCAACTCACAGAGATCCATCTTCCTCTGCTTCTCTAGTGCTAGGATTAAAGGTGTGCACCACCACCACCTGGTTGCGAGTATAAGAATTTTAGTCTGCTTTTTAGCTGTTTTTTTTTTTTTATTGGTTAATTCATACATTCTTTTTAAAAAGATGCAGAGAAAAAAAAAATATTGTACCTGACTTCAAAAAAAAAAAAAAACCAAACCAAAGATAACCAGTGGATTTTAATTCATTGTGTACAAGCTCTCTTTTTCCAGTTCTGCCCTTTCTTTAGTCTGTAAGGCTTTTAAATTATCCCGGACATTATGAAACTTTTTTCTTCATTGTAGCTTATAGAGGCTAACAGAAAATAAACAGGAAAAAGTATGTCTAACATACTTTTTTTCTGCTTTCTTTCTGTCATGAATACTGCTTAGATAATTCACCCCACACTGCTCCAAACCACTATCCTCTTTCTTGGACAGGCTCTGTGCTGGAGAATGGTGTGTCTGACTTCGAGCCCAAATCTTTGACAACACACTCTATTCCGAATGCCCAGCAGTCCCGGAATGCTGCCAAATCTCTCTCAAGAGCCACCACAGGAGCCCAGGTTTCAAATCTGGGAATGGAAAATGTTCCACTGTCTTCCACCAATAAAAGACTAGGTAAATCAAAGGCCTACTTGGGAGAGAAAAAACAGCTGTTTGACCAAAGACAGCTTGACTGTTAATCCTGTAGCTGAAGTTCCAGAGGCCTCAGGTGATAGTCTGTGCTGTAATCTTTGCATGTTTGTGTCTTGACACAGCAATAGGGACCTTTCTGTGAGTTGCAGCGTTTACTGCAGGATGACCTAGCTAACACTAACATGTTCCCCTTGCTCTTCACTGCACCTGTTTGTGGTGTTCTCTTTCTTTTTGTTCTGGTTGAACCAATGGGTGAAAATCTCTGTGTCTGGTACTGTTTTCACTGCTCTCTCCATCTTGTGCTCTTCCTGAAGTCCAGCAGACGGTGGAAAGCTCTAGCAGGAGCATGTCCTTTGAAATACTTGGTATTGATTGGTGGTAGCTCTTTACTTTTAAAATATGACTATGATAATCATTTTGTCAGGGGGTTGTAGTGCTTAGAGTATACATGTAATCCTAGCACTCAGGAACCTGAACCAGGAAGACCACAGCTTCTAGACTGGCCTGGGCTAACGCATTTGACCTTTTCACAACAACAATGGACAATACTTAACATCTACTAGTAATAACCTTGTGTGTGTTTCCATGTCTGTATATGTTTTGTTTTGAGGCAGGGTCTGGCCTGGAATTCTCTTTGTAGACCAAGCTGGCCTCAAGTTTACGGAGGCCTCTGCCTCTGCCTCCTGAGAGCTGGGACCAAAGGTATTCATTACCACACCTAAGAACTCTTGTTTTCTTATATATTGTAATAATCGTCTGAATGAATAGTTATTAAACAGAGATACTAGCTCATCTGTACTTCATACATCTGTACTTCTAACATGGTGATCTACTTGAGTGAACAATGAAATAGAAATTTAGAGGACCATCATAAGTTGTAGTTATTTATTAAATTGTTTCTTCCACACAAGCTACTTCTAAAACTGTCATGTTTATTTATTTATTTGTTTTCAAAACAGGGTTTCTCTGTGTAGCCCTGGCTGTCCTTTAGACCAGGCTGACCTTGGAACTCAGGAAGCCTCTGCTTCCTGAGTGCTAGGATTAAAGGCTTGCACCACCACTGCCTAGCCAGCATTTATTTGTGTATGTGTGTGTGTGTCCATTGTCTGTCTGTTTGTCTGTGCTTTCCTGTCTGTCTACCATATACGTCAATAAAAACTTTTTAGGGCTACAATTCTGTTTCTCCTTCATGGCATCTGGGGATCAAACTCAGGTTGTCAGGTTTGGTACCAAAAGCCTTTGCCCTCTGAGCCATCTTGCCAGCCCATGACCTACATTTTGGTTAGCACTTCTTTTTCATCTTGGTAGTAGCCTTCAGCTTGCTGCTGAATGGCCAGTCTGAGAAAATCCAGTAGAGCAAAAATAAAGGGGGTTAAAAGGTTTTAGATAAATTCTAAAGGAAATCAAACTGGAAGGAGAAAGAATCTATATTAAAAGTTAACTGGCTCCATTGGCAAAAGCTTTAGTTCTAGTTGCTCCAGAGGCTTAAACAGGAAGGTCACTTAAGTGGAGGAATTTAAGCTTGGCCTGGGCAGTTTATCTAGAGTCCACCAAAAGACTGATGCAATTGAAAAGGTAGGTGCTGGGTAGATGACTCTGTTAGCAAAGTGATTGCTGTGCAGCATGGGAACCTGAGTGTGGGGCCCAGGGCAGATAAACCAGGTGTGGCCATGTGCTTGGAAAGCCCTGTGCTGTGGGGTCAGAAGGGTCCTCTGGGGCCAGCCAGCCTTCCCTATGGTGAGTCCTAGGTTCCATCGAGAGATCCTGCCTCAAAAAATAAGGTTGGGGGCTGGAGAGATGACTCAGCAGTTAAGACCACTTGTTGCTTTAACAGAGGACTGGGGTTCAGTTTCCAGAACCCACATGGTAACTCACACAATGTACACACATATCTATCCAGGCAGAAGTAAAAAGGTAAATCTTAAAAAAATATTAAAAGGTGGGTAGCTCCTGAAGAATGATACTCATGGTTGATCTCTGGCACATACTGTTACATGCACACACATGTAAAATTGAAAGTGTGTGTGTGACCATATTATTAACACATTGTACACAACCACTAGTAATTGGTATCTAATCCCAGCTCTTGGGAGGAAGAAGCAGGAAGATCATGTCAAGCTCAAGGTTGACCTGGTATACACACATGAGTTCCAAAACCAACCATGGTTACAGAGTGAGACTTGATCTCAGAAATCGGAGATGACAGAGAAAACAAAAATGTGCATTTTTGTGTAATTACAAACTTCCTGTAGTCATGATCCTAACATACCACCATTTATAGAACATGAATCTTGTTAGAAAGATTAGTAGGACTCTTAGAAACTTAAACTGTATTGGGTAGGTGAATGTACTCCTCCTTTTTTCTGTGGTGGTAACTTCTCCACATATAATGTTTCATACTGCACTATGAAATGAAAACCTTTTAATTTTATAAAGTCCCATGGTGAATTTCTGTATTAGACCATGCCATTTGGGGAGTTTTGAAAATATGTTACCTATTCAGATAGTTTTATTTCTTGTCTGTGTTTCATTTATTTCAAATAGTTTCTAAAGTTGCTGCCTTAAGATTCACTGCTCTTTTTAAAAAAGTTTAGTCTGATAGTATCTTCATTTCTGAAATTCAGTTGAAGAGTCTTGAAATGTCTGCTCTATCTCTGTTTAACATGTGTTATTATTTGTCTGATAGTAACTGTTCGATATCCCCCCCCCCCCCCGAAAAAAAATCCACACACTCTTCTGTGGTACTAGGGATTAAGCCCAGGGCATGCCAAGCAAAGCACTACCACTGACCTGAAATCCCCAGCTTAAAATTGTTTATAATTTATTTTATGTGTTTATTTTAATTCCCCTGCATGCATGTCTGTGCACCATTTATAAGCTCAGTACCTATGGAGGCCAGAAGAGGGCATTGGATCCTCTTGAGATGGAGTTACTAATGGTTAAAAGCTGCCTTGTGGGTGCTGGGAATCAAACCCAGGTCCTCTGGAAGAGCAGGCAGTACTCGTAACTGCTGAACCATCTCTCTAGCCCAAATCCTCAGCTTTTGATGTCCTTTCATACTTGATTCTAGCGTGTGTCATTTCTGCATCAGTTTCTGGTGATTTTTCTCTTTGTAGTTATTTTATTTTGTAGTTTATTTTATTTTTAAATATATTTTTTGTTTTTATATGCCTGATGATTTTTTAATAGAATCCAAACATAAATTTTTCTTTGTTGATTACTAGATATTTGAATTTCTTTCAATATTTTGAGTCTGTTCTCTGACTCGATTATGTGAAAATATTGTGAAGCTTCTGAGCCTTGTTAGATTAGATGACAGCAACCTTGACATTAGAGCTCACTCTTCTTCCCTGTTGGGGCAGTATGTGGTGTGAGCAGCCTGCTTGCTTTATTGGTGTGAGCAGTCTGCTGTATGTAGTATGTGAGGTTTTTGTCTTCCTAATATGGACAGACTGCCCCTGGCCTGGGCGAAGCCTGTCCGCCATCCACTCCTTGCTGATTTGGTGGTGTCAGTGTGCCCATGCACTGGTTAGTACCAAGGCTTGTTATTGCTTCAACTTTATATAGATTTCTGTAGCTCCGTCTTGAGAATTCTAGCCTTAGCCTCCTTGTTTATTTAGTTCAGGAGACTGCCAGGCTTGGGATTTCTTCTTTATTGCAGTTTAGAAACTGCCTCACTTTTTCATGGGAAGTACTGTCTACTGCCCATTGTTGTTAGGGTTGTTTTATATATTTCATCTGTGTTATGTGTTGTTTAGTATGGAAGGATACACCCACAACTTGTAACTGACACTTTATAAACCGTGAAAATTTGAAAAATGGTTTCCTTTGTTGGGAAGGTGGTCATTTGGTTTACAGTTTTAGTCTATATATGACATTTGACTATAAACATTCAGATCCAACTTTTAATTTACAGGTTTCCTTTAAAATAATGTTTTTTTCCCCCTCCAAGGTTCTAATATTGAGAAGTCTGTAAAAGACCTTCAACGCTGCACAGTGTCTCTTGCTCGATACCGAGTTGTAGTTAAAGAAGAGATGGACGCGTCCATTAAGAAAATGAAACAAGCTTTTGCTGAATTGCAAAGCTGGTAAGAGAAGTTGCATTTGATACGTCATAGCACAGTGTTCACTAGCTCTTTAATCTCCTTCTAACTACAAGTGTGGAGAAATTTAGAAATCTTAAAGTGTATCTAACTCTGCTTTGTTCAGTTTCTTTTGGCCACAGTATGGGAGTGAGTGGTAGAACTCACGGTGCTCTAGAAATGGGCTTAATGATAATATTTTTGACAAAGGACAAATAATTATAGAATAGGGTTTATTTGTCAAGCCAACAGTATAATAAATGACATATAGCTAGATCAAAACTATAAAGTAGAAAACCAGTTGTGTTGGATCACCCTGTAATCATAGCATTTGGGAGGCTGAGGCAGGAAGAACACCACAGTTTCTAGGACAGCCTGGCTACAATTGAGATCTAACAAACCAAAACATGGTAAAGATATTTGAAAATGTGTATGTGTGTTTACTTTGAGTGCAGCTGTGCAAGTACCACGGAGTGTGTGTGGTCAGAGGACAACTTCAGGGTGTGTCGGTCCTCTTCTTCCACCGTGGTGAAACTGGTCTCTTGTTTGCCCCTGCAGTACACCTGCAGCTGGTTCAAGAGCTTCCAGGAATTGTCTTGTCTGCCTCCAATGTTACCATAGGAACACTGGGATTATAGATAACTGCTACCACATGCCTGACTTTGTCTGGGTTCTGGAGATTCAAACATAGGTGCTCACATTTGCCTTGTAAGTGCTTTGCTCACTGAGCCATCTTCCAGGCTTTGTAGTCCCTGTGGAGCTAGGGGAGCCACAATTTGTGTGTGTTATAGAGGGAGAGTGGATGTATACATGTGAGTGTGTGTAGTGTGGTGTATGCATGTGTGTGGAGGGAGTGTGGCGTGTGCAAGTGGAAGCCATTATGTGTCACCCTGTGTCATTGAGACATTGTCTTAGGACAAGGTCTCTCATTGTTCCACAAGTTTGCCTTTTCTACTAGGTGGCTGAGCTATCTCTCAATGCTGGGGTTACATACATGTGCAGCCATGCTCAGTCTCTTGTTTGGGTGCTGGGGATTCACACCCAGGTTCCAGTATTGAAGAGAAAGCATTCTTACCTGTTGAGCCATCTCCTCAGACCCCAGAAAACAATTTTTAAAAAATGTGTAACCTGAACCTTAGTGCTTTCTCAAGTCCAATTTGCATTGTGAACTAAAAGAAGAACCTAAACTATTTTTTTCTCCCTTAAATGTGTTTGATCATTGAGTCCTTTTTGGGGAGAAATTTATGTTGGTATAATAAAGTTGTTTTAATTAGATATTAAGCTGTTATATGTTTAAACATTGCTCTTTTCTGAGTAATTGGTTTTTTTTTTTTTTTTTTTTTTTTTTGTATTGTTTTTGTTTCTTTTTTGTCTTTTGAGATAGGGTTTCTCTGTGTAGCCTTGGCTGTCCTGTATACCAGGCTGACCTTGAACTCAGATATTCTTTCGCCTCCGCTTCCCTCATGTTGGGATTAAAGGCAGCCCAGCTAGGAATTGTATTTCTAAGGGATGCTTTTTAAAAATGGTTTAGACCAAATTTTCAAACATGTCAATAAAAGGCTGGCAAGATGGCTCAACAGGTGCTTGCCTCCAAGCCTGACTACCTGAGTCCAATACCCAGGACTCACATGGTAGAAGGAGAGAATTATTTACCGAAAGCTGATTCTCTGACTCTACACGTATGCCATGGCATGCACCTCCCACCTCTCCTACCGTACAGACACAAATAAATAAAAATTTTAAAGAGAAAAATGTCAGGAAGACAGGCGGTTAGGGTGACTTAAGGATTTAGGACTACACATTCTGCTTATGTAAGAATTGTTTATGTTTACAGTGAGTGGTGAAAAGAGCCCTTTGCTACCCCAAGATTGTCATCTGTTTTCTTACTATTGGTCCATGGACTATTTCCTTAGGTTATGCCTGACCGTACCTCTTTGGTCCCTGAGTACCACAGCAATAGCAGAAGCTGGGCAGAGAGGACTATGATTGTGGGTCCCCTCAGTCTCCCTTGTCTCTGGGGTTGTCTCTGGGGTTGAAAAAAAAAAAGAGTGAGGTAATAAAAATGAAGTAACAATTTCAATACATTGTCCTTATAACCAAAAAGTACTGTGTGTTTGTGTGGGGGTGGGGCGTTTAAGAAAGGGTTTTTCTATGTAGTGCAGGCTGACTTCAAACCTGTGGTCCTCATGCTTTTTCTAAAGAGCTTTTAAAGCCTGTGCCACTTGCCCAGCTCCAGTAAAGTACTGTTAAGACAGCTGGTTCACCTCCTAATCTAACCTTGCCTTGGAGCCCCAATTTTAGCCTTTCAGTTTTGTGGCTAGAACATCATGTTGTGTTCTCTTTCTTGATGTACATCTTTGCTTCTGCCAAATTACTTTCGGTCTCCTAACTTAGATTTCCTCTTTCATATATGAATTAGTGCCACTCTCCCCACTTGATGGGTTCTTCTGTGTCTGAGACAGTCTGTAGCTAGGTGTAGCCAATGCCCCAAACTGTTTTTGCTGTGACTTCTGATTAACTTACTAGGGAGCTGATATACCTTTGTTATGACCATCATCTGCAAGGATGAGGTGCCATGTTTTTTTGTATAGATTTTTTTTACCATTTTATTGGCATATTTGGAAAACCAGCTAAGAATAGTTTATCACAACTTTGCTTTGATAGGTCTCTAGTCTCTTAAGATCATCCAGTTTACTGCTTACTCAGCCACAGGACCTGATTCCATTCAGCAAGCCTAAGCCAGGAAACACACTTCTGAGAGATTTGTGAGTTCCTGCTGTCTTGGAACCCAGCCAGGAGGGACCTCCTTCAATAAACGACAGGTGAAATGGTTTCCTCCCTGGGAACTGTGTGTTTAATATTGATCGGCAGGCTAACAGCCAGATCAGTTGAGCTCAAGAACAGAGATTCCCTGCTCTTTCCCGCTAGTCCCTGCTAGTCTCAGGCTGATGGGACTTTAAAAGCTGCCTTCCTCCATGCACCTTGTAGTTGTTACTTAAGGATGTAATGGACAGGTAAGCTAACTTCATTTGGCACCAAACAGCTTGCAATTAATGCCAGTTAGAGAAAGTCATGTTTGTGTTTATTATAGTATCAAAGAAAGCAAAGGATTCTAACAGATTTTCAACAGTAAGATTATAAAAGGTGACCCATACCTGAAGGAACATAAAATCAGAATTCTAGTCATTTTAGACCCAGGTTCACTTTTCTTGTTAATCAATAAAGTTTACATTGTGAGAGTAGTTACTTGGCTGAGGTTTAAGACAATTAAGGAAGCAGGATGTAGAGTAAGTGCATCCTGGAAGGTGTGGTGTGTGGTGGAGATCTTCAGTCAATGTGTTGGCTACAAAAAGCTAAGAGAAGATATGCTAAGATTCCTTTCTGAATAAAAATGAAGTTTTAGTTTTATGAAACACCAACATTAAAAAAGACTCTTAACCATTTCTGAAAATTACTTTTAGGAATGCTGTCCTTGTCTCCTTCTGTCGCTGTGACGAACACTGGCCAAAACCAAGTTGTCAAAGAAAATTTATTTGCTTTATTTGTCCTAATTCATGGTCCTTCTTTGAGAGAAGTCAGTGCATGAACTGAAGTAGGCACCATGAAGAAACACTTGATTATAGACTTGCTAAACCTGGACCAGCTGCCCAGAGATAGTACAGCTCACAGGGGGCTAGGCCTCCCCCATCAATTAGCAATCAAGAAAATGCCTTTATACATATCTACAGGCCAGTTTTGATAGAGACAATTCCTCAGTTGAGTTTCCCTCTTTCTAGGTATCAAGTTGACAAAAACTGACTAGCACAAATATCTTACTAAACGTGGTTGGATATATTACCTGAATGACTTATCCTGAGTTCTTTTCTACTAGGTAGTTGGGTTGTTTTTTTTTATTATTATTATTATTATTATTATTATTATTATTATTATTATTATATTGTAAAAGGGGGACTTGAGTATTAGTTATATAGTTTGCTTAATGTGATACCACAAGATACAGGTCCAATATTTGAATCTATATGTATTCTGACCCAGTAACCTTCATCTCATACCTTCTTGATGACTTATTTCCTATACTTAATCTTTGGAAGGCTAGACATATTTGATATATGTCACATATATTATTCTTTCCTCAGCTGAATGACTAACATATAAACCAGTGTGAAATAGGGTTTAGAACTTTGTCGTTGTACAAAAGGGTTAAAATGAAGGATTGTAAATTTTTGTTTGTTTTGTTGTTTTTTTTGAGACAGGGTTTCTCTGTGGCTTTGGAGGCTGTCCTGGAACTCGCTCTTGTAGACCAGGCTGGTCTCGAACCCCATCTGCCTCTGCCTCCAGAATGCTAGGACTAAAGGCATGCACCACCACCACCCAGCTAAAGATTTTAAATTTAGTAAAATAAAATTATAAGGCCAGCAAGATTGTTCAGTGAGTAAAGGCACTTTTCCACCAAGCTTGATAATTTGAATTCTATCCCTGGGTTCCACATGGTGGAAGAAGCGAACAAACTTGAAAGTTGTCCTCTGACCTCCCCACATGCATGCTGTGGTGCTCGTGCCTCATGCACACTCATGCATTCATGTACACACATGCATAATGTGCAAAAAATAAATGTACAAGGGGAAATGTCCTACCAAAATATCCAGTGTTCTTTTGTTTTTTTCTAAGTCAGAAAGTCTTAAAGTTTTGGTTTGGTTTGGTTTCGATTGGGTGGAGGGGAGGGTTTATTACAGGGTCTAACTATATAGCTATGCATGACATGGAATGTAGACCAGATTGGACTCAGACTCATAGAGATCCTTATGCCTTTGCCTCCTAAGTACTGGTATTAAAAACATATGCCACCATGCCCATCTGAAATCACTGTCCTTAAGTCACAGCTTAGAGTCTCATGATTGAGGTTTTCTTTGGGTCATATCTCAGGAATGGAAACAGTATTAAGATTAAGGGTCTGAGGTTGGTAGCATGTACCTGTAATTCCAGAATTCAGAGGCTGAGATAGGAGG